TAAGGTACAGCTCATACTCGATCTGTTGGTCTGTGAAGCCTTGGGCGGTCAGTGTCTCTCCAGCTTCTGAACTTAGCGACCCAAACTCGCTGGCAAACTGGGCCTCCTTCATCTCTGACAGCCGCGCCGCACGAGGCCGTTGGATCTCATGCGTCAAATCCGCCAATGCCATCCCGTATGCTGAGAGAATCGAAGAGTACCGATGGATCACAACCCGCTGGATGCCCAGTGCCTCGGCAACATCACAGGCATGCTGGCCTCCAGCTCCACCGAAAGTGGCCAACACATGTTCTGAGGTTTTTATGCCTCTTCCCTCGGTCAATGATCGAATCGGCCTGCTCATGCTCTCATTCGCTACGCGCAGGAAGCCACTCGCGACTTCTTCGGGGGTGAACGACTTTCCCTCTTCCGCGTTGATCTTGTCGGTCAAATTCTTGAAAGCATCTGCCGTCGCTTCATAGTCAAGAGGCTCGTTTTCCTCAGGCCCAAAGATTGCCGGGAAGTATTCGGGACGAAGCCGGCCCAAGAAAAGGTTGGCATCAGTGACCGTAAGAGGACCACCTTTCCGGTAACATACGGGCCCAGGGTGCGCCCCGGCAGACTGTCACTTGTCAATGATCTCATCTTTATAATAAGAATGGGGCCTCTCACATCGGGCCCAATCGCAAACAGGCCATTCTTCCAATGCAAGATCGATCCTCCACCAGCCGCCACAGTGTTGATGTCGAGCTGCGGAGTCTGCAGGGTCACCTCTGCGGTCTCGGTCTCAAATACATGGTCGTAGGTGCCGGAGAAGCGGCTGACGTCTGTTGAAGTTCCTCCCATATCAAAGCCGATGACAGGCATCTTGTCGTCAGGGTCGTAGCACGAGCGCGCAAAACCAATCACCCCTCCTGCAGGGCCAGAAAGAATCGCTCGCAGACCAGAAAACTTCTGCCACAGGCACAGACCACCATCGCTTTGCATGAACAGAAGCTTGCCAGCTACGGCGTCCAGTCCGCCCTTGAAGCCGCTGCCGAAGTTTTTCACATAACGCCGGATGAGAGGCGAAAGATATGCATCAGCGATCGCAGAATTCCCTCTAGACACCATTTTTATCTGATGTGATTTAGTGACTATTATCTTCAGAGCACCACTGGGGATAGGCTCACCGTAGGCTGAAGCTCCGACGAAACGGAGACCTCGAAGCCCATAGACCGAGCAAGTTCGGCAACTTGGTCCTCGTGGCTGGAGTAAAGGTAGGAGTGAATGAAGCATATGGCTAAACTGTTGAACCCTTCGGTTTGAAGTTGGCTCAGTTGCTCTCTGATGACTTCCATATCGGGTCTCTTCAAGATTCTGACTGGTTCGCCTGTGAGGCCTTCGACCAGGGCATCATCGCTGTTGATGTCTATGGGTTCCTTCTCGGGATTCTCGAGAAACTCTTCCATTGTGACACGCTCATCAACTTCGACCACGGTGTCGTACAAATTCTGAAGCTTGTGTATGCTCAAATCAAAGATGTGAGGCCTCGCTTGGTTGCCGATGACAAGCAGGTCGCGAAAACCCTTCGTAGTCAGGAACGCAACTCGTTCACCTTGGCGTTCGAGCAGCGCATTCGTCGCAATAGTCGTGCCCATCCGAATTGACTCAACATCTGTGATGTCCAACGGCTCGTCGCGAGCAAGTGACTTCCCTCTGAAGTGTGCGAGTACACGACGAATTCCTTCGGTCGGGGCGTCATTGTAATTACGTGGGTCGACCGATAACAGCTTGAACACCATCTCTGGCTCAGAAGAGCCGGGAATGTAGGCATGTACATCTGTAAACGTACCGCCGCGATCTTTAGAGATGGGTTAGCGCCCATTTTCTTACACTACAGCCGCCAATCCTGGAAACTTACCAATCGCAATTCGGATCTTCCTTTGACTGTATCCAAGTGAACCCATCTTGGCGTGTGAATCGGCGATATAATCTCAATCTTCTTGAACCGAACATTGAAGTCGATGAATCTCGTCACCATACAACTTGGTGCCTTTATTGCACGTGTCGGCGTTGGCAAACCGACCGCCGGAGGGCCCCACAATCGCCGAGTTCGCTCTCGGAGCCCGGCCCCGATGCGCTGCGTTCCGATATGGGGAGATCAGATACGAGCGAAAAGACTGAGTCTACAAAATTGGGACCGAGGAGCGGGGAGCCAACCCGAAGCAGCTGAGATAAGCCCCGAGACGTAGCATCGAGATCCCCTCATCTCAGGCAAGGATACTCGGTATTTTCGGTCACCACCAACAGTTTCGGTAAGCTGGGCCGTTATCGCAAATGGTGCGAAAGGGCGTGTCTTTCACAAAACATCGAGCTTATCAGATCATTCATCTCTCCATCTACATTCTCCGCAATATTTTCATATGACATTGTCATGAGATAATTTTCTACTTGGCGGCTCGGGAACGCGATGCGAAGATGTGCATCGGTCTCCGAAATTGAGGATGAAGATTAGTGATGATTCAAGCACTATCTTGGGATAGTATTCAACACTAGAAAACAATGACTTCTGGATACTGAATACACTCTTGTACTCTTCTTCTGTCAGTCCCGACTTTCTGTTCACAGAAATAGTGACTACTATTCGCGTTTCGCGTCGTGTCGAAATTGCACGGAAACATGCCTTTGGAGGATGAAAGCAATATGAAGTCGAACAACCAGCAAGACATCATTGAGCACAACGCCTACTCCTCTACGTTTCAGATCGACCGAGTTGAGGAAGCAAGAGTTGTAAAGAAGATCGACCTTGCAATCACCCCTATTTTGTTAGTTGTCTATCTTTCATGTTTCATTGATAGATCAAACATCGGTACGTACAGGCATGGAGGCATCAGTTTCAGTGATTACATGGAATCTGACTTACCTCTCACAGGCAATGTAAAAGTTGCAGGTCTTCTTGATGACATTGGCGCAACAGAGCAGCAGTTTTCGACTGCCGTATCTCTCTTCTTCGTCACCTACGTTCCGGTCGAGGTCCCCGCTGTTATCCTCGTCAAGCGCTTCGAACCACGATTTGTCTTAACCATTCTTTGCATCATCTGGTCAGTCACCACGATTGCTAATGGCCTTCTAAAGAACATCGGTGGGCTATATGCCTGTCGGCTCGTCCTCGGAGCTTGCCAAGGAGGCTTGTTTCCTTCACTCAATATGTACCTTACGATGGTTTATAAACGAGACGAGCTGGCCAAGCGTACATCCTATCTTGTCTCATGCACAGCACTTTCCGGTGCCTTTGGTGGGCTTCTTGCCTATGGCTTGCTACAAATGGATGGTGTCGGAGGGTATGCAGGCTGGAGATGGGTCTACATCGTCGAAGGAGCCTTCAGCATTCTTTGCGCCTTCGCGGTGTGGTTTGGGCTTCCCAGTGATATTCGAAAGGCATATTTTCTCAACGAAAACGAACGTCAACTCATGGAAGTTCGTCATCAGGAGCGTTTGGACTACATGGGAAGCGAGGAGCTCGATTGGCAGGAGATCAAACTTGCTTTCTTGGACGCAAAGACTTGGCTTTCGTAGGTGAACCCGAAGGCCTGGGGCTTCCCGTGTCGGTACTGACAAGACTTCAGTGCTTGGACCCAGTTTTGTCAAAACATTCTCACCAATGGCTTTGGCACATTTTTGCCTTCAATTCTTCGAGCCATGGGACATGGCACACTGGCGGCAAACTATTTGACTATTCCAGTCTACTGTCTAGGGGCTTTGGCGTTCTTCACCTTCGCTTTCTTATCTGACAAGTATGGAAAATGCGGTTTCGTGAGTTACCTGGTTCGTGTCAACTCGTGTAATGCTGATCAATGGGTTCAGTTTTTGTTCGGCACGAACATCCTGGGCGCCGTCGGCTACGCGATTCTTATCGGTGTCAGTAACAACGCCGTGAAGTACTTCGCTTGCTTCGTATGCACTATTGCTGTTTACAATGGAACTGGCCTCAACCTTGCCTGGCTCAATGTCAACATGGCCCCGCAGTGTAAGTACTCCACATCAATCCTGAGGTCGGTTAGCTGACAGAAAGTGTCAAGATCGACGAGCCACTGCCATCGGCATTCAGCAGACTATTGGAAACTCGGCCGGAGCGGTTGCGGGACAGATATACAGGAGCTCCCCTTACTTGCTCGGCAATAGCTTCTCTCTTGGCGCCATCTTTGTCGCGGAATGTCTGATTGCGATTCATTGGTTCTACCTGAGAAGACTGGAAAAGGAGAAAGAAGCAATCTTGTCTGGCGAGATGGAAGATCGTCGAGAAAAGAGGACCGGAGATCGAGATCCAAACTTCAAATATCGTCTCTGAGCCTCCGATCAGCTAGGATATACCGCGACCAGAATTGAGATGCACAGAAGTCTATTAGTCAAAGCCCAATGCACCGAATGTATCTATAGCACCATTTGGTCTAAAACATGAAATTTACATTACTGCAATTGAGGTTGCAAACTTTCATTCCGAAGTATAATCTCAGGAAGCTGCCAATTCCTCTTCAATACATCCTAATTAGTAGTCGCCAACTAGATAGTTTACCTGTCTTTTAATGTCATTTCGAGACCGCCTATTTTTTCCCCATCCTTTTCATATATGGTTGCTATCATCGTTCTTATCTTCGATGTCATCGTCGTCGTCGTCGTCGTCATTGTTGTTGTTGCTATTGTTGTCGTCGCTGCCACTATTATTAGCCTTCATTCTTATCACCATCGATGTTTCTATTGTTGTAGTCTTTGTTATCATTCTCCTCGATTGCACTAAAGAGGGGTATTAAATACATAGGAAATATAGCCGCAAAGCTACATGAAAAATAGGCGGTCTCGCGGTTTCAACACTAAGTCGCATTGCGTCATAGGAACCACGCCGTAAATCACATAAGCGCGCTATCCAAGAGCGGTGAGATGCTGTGTGTTATCTCGTCGTCCTCAGCACTGATTTACTGCGTGGGTGTGATGAACCTGCCTTTTGTTTTACAACTTCCTCTTGTCACCGTATGCTTCACACGATGATGCAACCGTCGTCGGATAGCTCGGTGTCATACCACTACTTAGCCGACGACTTGAATCTGACTTCCGGGCCTGAAGAATACCGCTGGGCTCTCCGGTGCGTCACTTTGCTGGCTGGGTGTAATACTGACGACGTTCGCTGTACTCTGGGGGAGTTCACGTTGGGTCAGTGCAATGGGAAATACGAAGCGCTGTCCTACACTTGGGGCGATCCGAATGACACGACTCAGATCTATCTTGACGAGGAGCCCTTCAGCGTCACGGCAAACCTCAAAAGTGCGCTGCATTGTCTGCGCCTGCTTGACAAATACCGATTGCTGTGGACGGATTCGATTTGCATCAATCAGGACAATGTCTCAGAAGTCAACATCCAGGTTCAAAGAATGTGGGCCATCTACAAGTATTCTTCGAGGGTAGTTGTTTTCCTCGGAAGGGAGGCGAAAGGCACAACAAGCGTTGCTGGCCTGCTCACAAGGCTAACAGTAGATGTTTCGCCAAAAGACTATCGAGCTATCACTTCAATTCTTCAAGACAAATCTGAAGCAGCCTCGTGGAAAGCTTTGGACGAACTCATGAAACGGCCCTGGTGGAGCAGAGCATGGATCGTCCAGGAATTCGCTGTGCATCGAGAGGTTGTCTTCATATGCGGGACAGTTGAGATTCCCGAAAGCATTTTTGGAAGTGCACTTGAAATCTTGGTCGGCTACAGATTCAACGCCATCGTGCCCAAGCCGCTACAGTACTTCGTCCGGCACATAGCTTCAACACCCATCAGTCATCTATGGACTGTCAGAAGGGCGTACCAGAAATACGGCTTAGACGAAAGAATGCGACATCCGGCAAATATGCTGTACCGGTTCCGTGACTTCGAATCTTTCGATCCCGGGGATAAGGTTTACAGTCTTTTTCGCCTCATGGGTGAGGACGCTGATCTGAAACCAAATTACAATAGGTCGGTGCAAGAACTTTACAAAGACGTGGTGTGCATCTCAATCAAAATGTCCAATACTCCTCAAGTTCTCTGCCATCAAAATCGAACCTTTCAAGGTATAAGTGGGTTACCAACATGGTGCCCTGACTGGACCGTCACGCGGGGACGGAGAATACTTTTGTGGCCAAATGGATACAACGCAGGGGGCAACGGTATAACCTCTCCTCGATTCAATGGCAACAAGCTGTGCCTAAAGGGGAAACTTCTGGACAGGTTCCAATAGCTGAAGACATTCGATCACGAGATTTTCCACGACAACGCCGTTGTCTTCCGCCGCCTTGAAGCCATCGAGACTGAAATATTAAGGCGCTTGAAGGCCAACTCTGGGGCCGAAAAGAAGCCCTGGTCTTCACTAGACTCCTTACGCGCAACGCTCGTCGGATCTCGAATAAGGAAGAAAGGGCCGTCTCAAAAGGCCACAGTTCTCAGCCCCTCTGACGCCGGTAATCTTTGGCATGTCTGGTACGAACACATGAGGAACCAGACTTCAAACGAGTTGCGTTGAGATGCAAAATTATACAACGACGCATTGTACAGCACGCTTTGTGGACGATCTTTCTTCTTGACTGAAGACAGGCAATTCGGTTTGGCGGACATTCCGGTTCAAGTCGGTGACTTGATAGGGGGATTCCTAGGCAGCCGAGTTCTTTTTGCTGTCCGCGAAACGCTACAGAGCAGTCATACAAGAAGTGAGAAACAATTCGAGTTAGTGGGCGAATGGTAAGGCATTGATAGCTCCTCCAACAGCCAAATGGCGCATTGCTAACATTTGGAATATAGCTACTTGGAAGGGCTCATGAACGGTGAAGCCATGAGAGACAATGATCAGTTGTCTGAAATATGCCTTGTCTAGGTGTGTCTCCTGCTTACATAGCCCTGGACGCGAAGTCGCTTTGGAAACATCGCGGGTCTGCGAGTTGCTGGCGGGGCAAGAATCATCGCTACCATCAGAGCACTTGCGAAGGCTGATCAACCAAGTATCTAGCACGACCTCCAAATAAACGAAACGTATCGATACCCCGTCCTACCCCAAAGTGACTCTGACAATCCGTGGTTGATTCTTTCTCCAGCGATCCGTTAAGACTCGGCCACATCCCAACCTCCGCGAAATCTGGTCATCGCCCTTCTGAACCCAGAGGACGTTGTAGAAATCTACAATCTCTTCGTCACACGCGTCTTCCTTTGGAAGTGTGAGGTTCTCATTCCAATTTCCGGCAGGCAGAACGACATGGCCCTGGCCCCACCAATCAGTTGCTGATGAACCAGTCCACCATCCATCGCCATCGTACTCTGTTTCAAAAGGCGCATGGTCATAATATGGACTTCTGCGAAGCACCTTCTCCTCGAAACACATTTTCATGTCTCCACGGGTTGCACGTCCCTCTGAGATTGCAATGAGATCCATTTCGAACCCCTTCCCACACTTGGTGGTAATCCCTTCTGGGAACCTCCTCGTTGTCCGTTCCAATCGCTTGTAATCGAGATTTTCCGTGACACGAACGAGGCCCGCAAAAACTCCATCTCGATCTTGGAGAACCACAACCTTTGACAGGTGGTGTAGGGGCTTTTCGTTCATTGTCGGATCCCATAACACATGCTTGACTGCTCTGTGCCTCGTCAAAGACTCATGTATCCCCAAAGTTGCTGCGGGAATAAAGACGGCTATTTCTGTATCGCATTCCAGGAGTATCAACTGGTCCCCAGGAGACTTCCTATCTCCAGCTGAACTGTGTATAGCCTTAGTATTGCTGTGGAAATCGTCGTGTATTTCGATGTTGGGGGAGGATATAGAAGACTTCCTAACGGAAAAGAAATCTTCCTGTGCGCATGAAGGCGGTAAGGCGCTATCAATCGAGCTGTGTTCCTGTGAAATGATTTTGGTCTGCCAGTTGATGAGATTTTTCAGTTTCCAGGAGCCGGCCTTGGCTTTCCTGACAGCGTCGTTCCCATCGAGACAGAAGCTAGATTGGAAGCTCCACGGGTCCACAAGACATTGCCATCCACACCATGCCCACGATGGAAAGCAAGGCTTGTTGGTAGAGGAGCTGGTCCTTCTGTGGCAATATTTCAGCGGCTGCCATAAGAGCGCATAGTCCAGAAACTCAATTGGCAAGCCGCCCAAGAATCCGCCCCTGAAAGCCGGAGCTAGACGGTTCAGAATGCCTGTGCACGCCATAAGACCGTCTTCTTCATGGGTGAAGTTGCGTCCATTGAATGGACAAATTAAGTCCATGTATAGGCCAAAATCCGGATTTGATGGCGTCAAAAAGCGTCTTGTGAGGGTTTGCTTGGCCATGTTGGTAGCAGCGATCGGGTTGTCTTCGTCTGGCGTCAGATGATCCATGTCCCAAACCGCGCATCCGCACTGCCAGAAGACCGCATCATCGTAAAAGAAGATGACGCGCTTGCTAAGAATCGCCTCCTGATAAGTCCAGCCTCTCTTGGCCCACATAGACTTAGATATTGAAGTGTAGTGATTTAGTATGGCTTTTTGATCGAGCTCCCGGAGGTTGACGCTGGCTTGCGTGGTTGCTAATGGTCCCTCCAGCGTGTCGTCCTTGCTGCTTACCCTCCCTTTGAAGATCTCCTCAAACAGTCCAGACGTCGCTGCTGCAACTAAAGTGACGGTGGCACAGGCATAGATGTGGTCCATATTCGAAATTTCCTCGTGCTTCGCTGTTGATTCTTCGTCTTGAATAATGCAGAGTTGGTCCACCCACAAATATCTAAGTCCAAGTAGTTTGGTCATCTTGACTGCTTCTTGAATGACCTTGCTCATCAATTGTTCTCGAGTAAGGAACACGTGAGGTGTGTGGAGAGCCTCCTTATTATTCTGAAGCAACTGTAGATTGCGACATGGCGTATGAGCATTGGTTGACGGTTTGCCGATCGAATTCACGACACCGGCGGTCCAGGTGTAGCTGAGGGCGACGTAACTCTTGTCTCTACTCCCAGGTACAAGACAGTAATCTTCCGTGTCGATAAGATGTGAAGGTGCCCTGGGAAGTAATATGTCATTTGTCGCACCCTCGTCTGGTCGATTGCAAGTATGTCGGCTATTGCAAACGAATAGCCATTTCCGCATATGAGCAATGGCAATTTCCTCCACTTCGATAATTTCCTCTTCCATCCCACCTGAGGCGTTCTCTGAGAGGATGAAAGTGTCCTCTGTATTACTAAAAGATTCTTCTGTGTTGACAGACGATTCCTCTGTAACAACAGAAGACTCCAAGGGAATTGACAAAACACAACGTCCCATGTTAATGATTCCCCTGATGACGAGCGTTAGCTTGAAGCAAACATGTGTTCGGAAGGAAGGCAGCTTACAAAGATACTTTCTGGGTCTCGAGACTTGCGCAGTCAATAGATGAATCAGGATTGCAATAAATGACGCTTATAGTCTTTTTTTCGTGCGCAGAATGATTACTCACGTATGTGAATGACTTCCACTGAGAGCTTGGCGTGGACAAGATTATGCAGTGAATGGTGATATCAATTTACAACGCCCTTGGAAATCATCGGCTAGACGGGCGTATGAAACCATACGCAAGACATCCTGTCATCATGATTTTCAGCTAAGATATTACACTACTACGCAATGGCAAGTACAGCCATAGGGTAGATCACTGAGTACATAAGTTCTTCGGACACTTTATTCCCTTCGCAACATTTCCAGCGTAGAGATCTTGTGACCCAAAATCATGCCATGAGAGCATCGACCCATGCTTTATGGAATATTCGTAGAAGCTCAAACAGGCACTTCACTAACGCTGGCGTTCGGGAATGCTTGGGAGTATGGTCTCAACATATCAGCTTTATTGTTGTTAGGTTCCAACACATCACACAAGATGCCATCTCCTAAATCTCATATCCAACATCTGCGAACTAAACCCGGGCCTTGCACCCCATGCCATGTCACCATGGCAATTGATTGTGGCGAGAAGGCCTCTAGGGAAGAGACTCAAGTCGAGATTCGGAATTTGGGTCATCAAAATGTCATACACAAGAGATATAGATGCGGCCGTTGAGAAATATTCCGCAATACAGGACGGCCCATTGCAACGTGTCAGCATTTGAACCGACTCGTGAGGAGTTAAGAATGCAGTGAAATAGTTGCCTGGTAATTGATTGCAGTGTTTGCCTTACAGGAAATGCGACCCACGATGTCACAGTCCGCCTCCACTCTGCCTCAAGTTCTGCTGACACCATCAGTGGCACACATTCTCCCGGACCATAACGCGTCTTTACACCTCAAAGCCAACCAACACATACCCTAATGCCACAAAACGGCCTCCACAAGTGCGCAACTGCGCACTCGAGTCTCGTCAGTTTGCTTGAGACCCAAGAGCACCCACCAGGTCTCTGGTCTGCAAGCGCTCCCTCATATCTCCGCTGACAAAACTCGGCCAAATGTTGAATCATCTTCGGAGACGAATATCTAATAGCAACAGGTGTCTAGCAAAGCCTGTATCATTTCGTTGCCTCGGGGTGGGTTAAGAATGCAGTGAAGGGGGCGCTCCTGATGGTGTGGACATGGGTTGCAGATGCATTTGTCGCTGCGATGATGTGCGAGGATTGGTTATGGAAGTTCGGCAGCTGAAATGGGCTTCCAGTTTGTTTCCAGGACTAAAAGCCGTTGGCCACTTTTTGTTCCTGTCCGCCTGACGAACAAATGCGAACTAACAACGTAGCCCGCCCATCATCCCCGTGAGGCTCTGCTTTCAACAGTCAACACCAAGACTCCTCCTACTCCCACCAAGCCACACCCATCTTCACCCCTCACCTTCAACTCCAACCAAACATACCTACCTGCCTACCCCGCTGCACAATCCCGCATCTCCAAAGAGCGCATCTGCGCGCCCCCAAAAAGCCAAGCCCGCCATCCCATTGGCCCCTCGTCCCAAAATGCTGACCGCAGCCTGCCTCGCGGGGTCTCGGACGCCCCATCAGACGGGGCACCCCAGCAGGCGTCTTCAGTAGGTAGGCAACCTGCCTCCCGCTCGAAGAAGGCCTGCATGAGTTGCCTACCTCGTGCCGCGCTGTCTGAAGAGTGGTGTGCAACCCGCAGCTCGCAGCTCGCAGCCACAAACAAAACAACAAGACGCGGCACGGTACTCTCAAATCACGAATGGCCAGAGAGTCAAACACGCACAATCGTGCGTCGTCGAAATCATACCCTCTCATGAACACAACACAGCACACCAAAAGCGAATAGAGAGAAACTCGGCCTCCGGCGCTGCGCCGCTGCAGCATGCACCCTGCAGATGCGGCTCGGAGCGGGGCCTGTAGACACCACCACTTCACTTCGACTCTCAGGCCGTCTTCATTCGCAAGCCGTCCGCGTGTCTTACACCACACACTCTCCAAATTCATATTCTATGACCAAACAAAAGAGGGGGAAAGATACATAACCACTCTTCAAAGACGAGAGCATGATCTTTCTCCCCGGGCAGCAAAAACCCAAAACGCCCTCGCGGCGGGACGGCAGCGCCGTTTTGTTCATGCGGCGCCGCTGTATTGGGATGACATGACATGCAAAAACGCGATCTGAGGGTTCTGCAGAGGGTGTATTTTATGGTGATGTTGTTGGAGAAAAGAGGGGAGGAGGATCATAGCGCACCAACATCTCCTTCACAAGCGTCATGATCTGGATGGGTTGGAGGCTCATCTGCCCATCGTCCGCGTGTCGTTGTCCACTTTTTTACCATGGACGGCATCTCATTTTGGGTTTTGCGGAAAGCTGTGATGGGATGAGATGGAGAGGGAGAGTGTCACCGGCCGGCAAAGTCACGAAAGTAAAGATAGGCGACGCCAGTAGCCGTCTGGCCGTCTGGATCTGTAGCCGAGAGCCCTCCCGTCTGGTGTTTTCCGAATTTTTCTTGATCTTTGCCTGTCTCCCGATTGGAGATCAGACACGCACCCAAACCATTCTCTCTTTACAATTATGCATATCAGACTGGAGCGGAGGGGAAAAGGTTATTTTTAGGGTGATATGCTTTACGGAGATAAAAAGATGGGATCGTGCACCTGTTGAACCAAGACACACACAAAAAGAAAAAGGCTCGCCGGGCGTTTTATGTCTTGGCGCAAAGATGAGATGAGCGATAAATAGGCGTGCTTGCACTCCCAGTGAAGGTGAGGTGAGGTTCGATTTCGGATTGAGTTCCGTTGGTGTTGCATTGCGGCCCACGTCCATTTGGCTTTTACGTGCCGCGGGCGGTCAGGGGAATTCCTTGATTGAAGGCATTTGTTTTTTCGGGGGAAGAGAGGGAGGGGTGGGCGGTAAGAGCCGCGGGGTTGCGGTCGCGTAGAGCACAGGAATTTGATCGTCACTGTTTTTCTTCAAGTGGCATGGTGACAGTCACGGCGACGGTGGCATTATTCTTGCCAATCTTGCGGCTTATTGAGGTGGGAACGACCTGGGGAAGCACGGTTGATGGGCAAAAAAAGCAGAGGACGATCGAAAGGTCTAGACCGGCAGAAAATCGATATTCTAGGGTGGTAATGATTGCACTAGACAGCGCTGCCAAATGTAACTGCGGTCTGTGTAGGTGGGATTGATGACATATTGCGACTCTGTGATTTCGCAGCGAGCAGAGCCGCTTGGTTGCGCGAGTCGTGCGCTGGAATGCGACAGTGGTTGCACGAGTTCGGTGAAGAGGGAGTTTCTTCGGAGGGGCCGTTGTGAGGGGAGGAGGGAAAAAAAGGTTTAGGTTTGCTTTGGTGGGATTGGAGTTGGAGATGATCTGCAATTGATGGGCATGTTATTTTTTTTTAGTCCTCACGAATCTGACTGGGAAAGGTGAGCACGACAAAAAGACACTTTTTGAGGTGAGGTACGTTTACAATGGAGGTAGATGGGTTGGGGGATACGGCAACGGCAACGGCAACGGCAGACAAGAAAGGATAGACGACGCCCAAACATGCTGGCACCCGTCTGATGACGGGAGATTGTCGCAAACGATGCATGGATTTTCCTCTTGTGTGGTGGGATGGAATGGGGTCCTTTTTTGGCGGTTGGTTGGGTGGATGGTGACCAACCTCGTTGTACTTGATAGAAGGTCCTCCGGCGGTCTGTAAGATGTGAGGGATGATCCCTTCAACGCTGCGGCTTGATTCCCTCGCCCGGGTCGATCATCCTGTTCTTTGGTACGGGATCGTGTACGTACAAACACACCACCTGGCTTCTGGGTAAGAGGAAGAGAGAGAGGGTGCTGACCGTCTGATGGGACCCTCCTTGCGCGAGTCGGTGTTGGAGGTCACTTGAGGTGAAGAAAACGGCAGTAGTGTAGTTTGGGAAGTCCCAAATTCCAAGAAGTTGGCAGAGAAATGGATACGCATTTACAAAGCGCATAGTTCCCGTTCCTTGGAGGCGTTGATGTGACCAGGGAGGTGACGGAGTAGTCACAGAGATACTGCGTAGAGATACGCTGGAGACAGACAGATTGATGATGGAGATGATGGACGGTACCAAGATACCACGAGGACGAACCGAAACGAGACGAGACGGGACCGCGCAGGCCAGCTGCGCCGCAGCAGGCGTGATCCCCGGCGGCCACTTCTGCGCTGGAGCAGCGGGGAGCCAATCGTTCGGCGGGAGCGGGGCGGCAGCCTCACTTTTTGCGGGAGCGAGCCGTGGCCAATCGAGGTTCGCCCTGCGAAGCCATTCCCCTTTTGGAGCTGCAGAAGGAACGTGATTGGGCGAGGGCCAGGGAGGGTTAACAGTGGAGTTGGAAGTTGCGAAATAAA